GGATCAAAGGTCGGGTACATCGATCGCAGCGCTGGTGTGACCTTTTCCAACGTCAGTGCTGTTTCCGCCGGCAAGAAACTCCTGAGTGTCGACTTCGTCAACTATGAATACGCGTTCACTACCGCATGGGATTGGGGTGACAATGCGCGAAACATGACAGTAGCTGTGAACGGTAAAAAGGCGAAGAGGTGGGCCTTCCCACTCTCCGGTGGGAACTGGCAAGAGAGTTTTGGTCTGAACATTGAAGTTGACGGGTTTACGGAGGGTAATGCAAACACAGTAGAGTTCAGAGGCTATGGAGACAGGTTTGCTCCAGACTTGGTTGGCTTCAAGGTCCTTGAGTAGCTCACAGGCTTTTGTTGATTAGTGGAATTTAGACCATAGCTTGAGGTTTTTTGTTGAACTGAAATATTCATAAGCCTAATAACATTTCTATTTACCCTAGTTTGAACCGGAATTTTTCTTGCCATACCCTGCACAACGGTGGGCGCCGATCCCATCCTGAAAGAGCTGTGGGGGACCCCGCATCCGGGAAACTGGTGGTGCCATTGCGGGTCAAAGGCCACCGAACATCTGCCATCTGTCATGAACACCAAATTACATCCTTCGCTCTGTACGCATGGACGACAAGAACAAGTATGCAGCTAGTATCGCATACATCGACGCCGCTCACAACAGGTTGGGTGGTAAAGCAAGGCGATCATTCCTCCACTAGCCCCTTTCTACCCGCGCACGACGCTCCAACCGAGATACATCGTGACCTTCTCAAGAACGGGAAAATCAAGGATCCCTTCATTGACCTCAATGAGCTTTCAGTACGCTGGGTCGGAGACGAGACATGGACATATCGTACCACATTCGCCGCACCTCAACGTTATGGCAAAGCTGGTGTGACTTCCAAACTTCAATTCGAAGGATTGGATACATTTGCCTCCGTGTATCTGAATGACATCTTCATCCTCCAATCAGATAACATGTTTGAGGTGCATTGGGTTGACGTTACAGGGAAGCTGAAAGACCTAGACAATGCACTGGAAATTGTCTTTCATTCTGCGCGAAAGAGGGGCCTGGAACTTGTCAAGGAACATAAAGACCATCGGTACATTGTACACCAGACGGAGATATCGCGTGGCCCGGTTCGTAAAGCACAGTATCATTGGGGATGGGATTGGGGCCCCATACTGATGACGTGTGGGATTTGGAAACCGATATCGCTGGAGACGTGGACCAGTGAATTGTCAAATCTGGACATCCATTACGATCTTTCACATGACTTGGATTCTGCTTCGATTATAGCTAGGGTCGAATGGGAAGGCCCCGTTAATTCACTGACTTTCACTATTACGAAGAAAGGGAGCAGTATTATCGAATGGAGCGATACCATAAATCTTCGGTCTGGAGATCGCTGTGGGACTGCGAGTGCATCTGGTATCATGAAAGATATCGAGCTCTGGTGGCCGCGAGGCTATGGCGATCAGAATATGTACACTGTCCAAGCAGAAGCTTACGCACAGTCTGAGACGTCCGAATCTCAGAGAGTTCACTCTGTCTCAAAAGACTTTGGTTTTCGTCGCGCTGAGCTCGTTCAAGAGCCGGATAAAGATGGCCAATCCTTCTACTTCCGCGTTAACGGTATTGACATCTTCTGTGGCGGTTCATGCTGGATACCCGCAGACTCCTTCTTGACACGTCTCACGCCTTCCGACTATCACGCGTGGGTAAAGCTCGCGGCCGATGGAAATCAAACAATGCTTCGCGTATGGGGTGGTGGTATTTATGAAGCCCATGCGCTGTACTCTGCAGCTGACGAGCTGGGCGTGCTAGTATGGCAAGACTTTATGTTTGCCTGTGCAAACTACCCAGCACACAGAGAATATTTGAAGAGTGTAGAAGCCGAAGCCAGACAAAATGTCCAACAATTACGAAGGCATCCAAGCATCGTCGTCTGGGCAGGAAACAACGAAGACTACCAAATCGTAGAGCGCTATGGACTCGACTACGATCCTGACAACAAAGACCCCGAGTCCTGGCTCCAAACAAACTTCCCGGCACGCTATATCTATGAGCATCTCCTCCCAAAAATAGTATCACAAGAATCTCCAAACACACCCTACCACCCCAGCTCCCCCTTCGGCAACGGCCGCTCCACTGTCCTAAAAGTCGATCCCACAATTGGCGACGTTCACCAATGGAACGTCTGGCACGGCACAATGGAACCATACCAACGCCTCCCCGAGCTCGGCGGTCGTTTCGTCTCCGAATTTGGCATGGAAGCCTATCCGCACATATCTACAATCGAGAAATGGGTTACGCGGCCAGAAGACCGCTACCCGGGCTCCATGGCCATGGACTTCCGCAATAAAGCGATTGGACATGAGCGACGCTTGATAAGCTATGTTGCTGAGAACTTTCGCGTTAGATATGATCTGAAGAGATTCGCGCATCTGACGCAGGTCATGCAGGCCGATGCTATGTCGTGGGCGTACAAGTCCTGGCGTCGTGATTGGGGATCGCGCGGTAATCGTAAGTGTGGGGGTGTGCTGGTTTGGCAACTTAACGATTGCTGGCCGACCATGTCGTGGGCTGTTGTCGACTACGATCGCGTCCCTAAACCGGCGTATTATGCTATCAAACGTGCCATGCAGCCTGTTGCTATTGGTGTGCAGCGCAAGGTTAAGAGCTGGACAACGCGGCCGGCGGATGACCTGTGGCAGCGGGATACGGGACATATCGATATGCGCAAGTTGCGGCAGGAGGTCGAGTATGAAGTTTGGATTGCTAATGGCACGGTGAAAGAGGTGGACGGGAATGTGAGGATTAGGTATGTATCGGTCAAAACGGGGGCGAAAGTGGGACAGGAATTGAAGCGAGATGTTCACATTGCTGCCAATGGGACTACCGAGGTTATCAAGATTCATATAATGGGTGTGGACATCTCAAAGCACCCGGATGATTTTGATTTTACGACCACTGACCCTTTCGTTATTGAGGCAACGCTACATATAGACGGTCAATGTGTTGCAAAGGATATATCTTGGCCGGAACCGATCAAATATCTTTCTTTTGAAGATCGAGGGATCAAGGTGGAGTATTCTAAAGATTTGACTGTGGCTTTTGTATCGTCTTCAAAGCCAGTAAAGGGCTTTGTGTTTAACGAGAGAAAGGGCGTACGATTAAGCGACAATGGCTTTGATGTCATACCAGGAGAGACGCACGAAGTGCAAGTAGACGGCGTCGCGGCTAATGAGTTAGAATGGAGTTACATTGAGATGTAGCACCTTTCTAAGCATACTAGATAATGCGCTACTTATGCACTGTCTTAATACGTTTCGCCCTGGCCTAGACTTAGAATAGAGAAGCATAGCCTACCTCCTCATCACATACATCTAATCAACGCAAGATTGTAAGGTTCTTGGCTTAAAAAGTGCAATGCCAAAGATAGTGTCAGACGTAGCAAGATCAAATTCTGTACAGTTCTAATATCTACCAGAATGTTCATATCTGCTTACGGATCGAATAAATGCTCTTACTTCAGTCTAAACATCACTAAAAAAGATATCGCCAAAGCATCTGGGCAGGATCTCTGAGCGCAGTTCAGAAAAGCAGAACCCGGATGCTAAGGCCCACACTCCGATTCTGTAGTCGCGCATCGAGATCTCCATCGACGAGCTGTACCAAGGGGAATTCAGCCAGTTACAGAGAGGCTTAACCATAGCAGTTCGCTTAAAAGAATTGATTGGAATACAGCCTATCATCAAATCATCAGTGACCTTAGCTCCAGGTTCAGAAAAAGGAATGTATACCATTATAATTTACCCAGCAAGGCCTTCCCTAAATAAAGAATATTAGCATGAAGACATATGAAGAGTGCTTCGTCTTACAGAGGTGCATCGCCGGGCTGTCCCTTCGCCATTATCGTTTACGCAGAGTCCATGAAGAGCGCTATCGTAAATTTTCGGATCGTTGGCAAAGTCTGGATCATCCCAGTTTTTGCAGTTCTATACATGGCTGATTAGTCGTGATGTACCGAGAGAAAGACGAATTATTGAAAAGTACCTAGTTGCTTTTCGCAGCTGTCAAAGACAGCAAGGGAATGATTGCAGCGAGAATTGGAAGACGCATGTTGATTAAGGAATACAGGGTTGATCTAGACAACGAATGTTGCAAAGAAGAATGATTTAAAGATGAGTTATGAGAATAGGGACACTAGTCAAGCATAAAGGCTAGGTAAATGTACTTTGCCTATATTCGTGTTTTACCCACATAAGTAGCTTTATTTGAACCCATGGATCCTCAGAACAAGGAGAGTCGAACTAGCCACAAGATTTGTTCATACTTACTTCTGGAGATTTTCGCCTAGACTGACCAAAATAAAGACTTTACTAACACTAGGAACGCGTTCTGGTTGGCATAGAGCTCTTTTGCTACCTTGTCATCATCAGTAGGGCATGATACATTTGTGGGCGTGATATACGGTTTGTTAGAACGTTATCTGGTATATCCTGAAGCCTTTTGGCTATCCTATACTCATTTCAGACCTCGGTGCTTCTTCCTTATCTAATGAGGCGATCGGTCATGATGTTTCACCGCTTTGGAGCCAAGTATATAAATTCGGTATGCTAGCTCTTACGAGACCTTTCATAAAACCTATTAATGACAAATTCGGTTATTAATAATTATACTAGCGCTGGGACCAGACTAATGACTAGGTGACCAAGCCGGTGATATTGCAAGGAGCTCGCTGTGGCGAGCAATGGCCGAAGTAGTGCTAGCGTGATTTTTAATGCTAGGCTGTCTAAATGCTCGTCCACAACGGAACACAACGGACTATAAAGAGCACTCCAATCGAACACGCTTGTGAATTTTCATTTCATCCATGCGTATCTGTAACATTGTGACATCTTGACTTGATCCGTCTCGCACGCTTTGTGTATTGAGCATACGTACACACCTAGCACTGCCCTAGAAAGTTACCGCTCCCATAAATCGTCTTGAAAGCCCTAATCTTCATCGTCCGAATCCAGAACCTTGTCACTGGTCTTCCAGAACGCAGTCGGCCCAGCTGGTCCGTGCACGTCAAAGTCTTTGTCAAACCACGTTCCGACAACGCCTCGTGGACAGCGCAATCCGCCTACTTGAATACCATCACTACGCCATCTCTCTTCACTGCTTACATGCGTCAGTGATACTCAGCGTAGGGGCGCATGAATAACAATGTAAACGTACCCTTCAAAAATTGAAATCGTCTGCCACCTCACTTCGCCCTCAGGGGTCAAGCTCACAGTGCCGCGGATGCCAGAGATCGCATTAGGATCCCATCGAACATCTATGGATCTTGATGTCCCTTTGAAGCGCACCACAGGGAGTGCAGGGTTGTCTGATGGGCCTGGTGCGGTAACATCGGTAATTCGCAAATCCATCTGTATATAACGAATGGCTTCATCTGCATGAAGTGGTGCTCTTGGCTGGTCAGCGGGAACTCTTCTTGCATCCGTTTCGAAATTGTAGTGGTATAGATCGGTGTAATCCAGGAAGCAAATAACCTAAAATTTATCAGCAAGTTGTCAACACTATCACTTTGTGCATGACATACTCGGGACCAAGTTCCTTGGACTCTGTACGGATCTTTCATATCGAGCGGGAGTTCCGGTTCCTGTAGCAGCGCTATGTAATTTGATGGACCGATGCCCACATTGCCTTCTATATCTGGAATGATACCCTCTAGGGAGTCTAGCCATGGTAGCTGGAGTCGGCTGCTTAGCGTTTGAAGGGAAAAGAATGAGTTGTATCCAAGCACGATCATGATGCTTTCGATCATTTCCCAATCCACTCGCATGCTTCCATCTTTGCGGAAAGGGCCCCATTTGTTCTTATCAGTGTAGTTTCTTAAATCGTATACGCGTGATCGGGCATACGGTTGAGTGAAAAGTACATTTTTCCTTCTGGCTTTAGATTGAGGGAAGCCCTTGGAATTGGGGAAACCGAATAAGCTATGCAGTTTTGCGCTCAGCTGACGGCCTTCTTCATCCTCAGCTGGTTTCTGTGTTGATGTTCCTGCCCGACTGAAATGCGATGAGCGACACATGAAAGCATCGTGGTTTTGGGTGATGTTTTCGAAAAGTTCTTTGAGCAAGGTTCTGTTGTGACTATTGCCGAGGTTGTCGCACGACATGGTGGCGATAAGACTTTCCACTGTCGATGCGACGAAAGTAAACTCTTCCCGCTGCGAACGTTAGATAGAGAAATGATGCAAAAGGCACGGTTCCTACTTTAAGGTCGTTATCGGCTGATAATAACATCTTCTGACATCTGACTAGCCTTTGCAGTTCTTCAACCCATGCCGGCTCTGGATCTGTCGGTCTTCTCCGGCGAGGATCATCCTAACATATAGTCAGAATCTTTCAATCACTAGAATCTTGCTGGTTCCTCCATACAAAGTGTTTGAGGTAAAGAGTCTTATATATTCGCGTATTTTCCCTGATGAAGCTATTGAAGCCTTTGGACGTCTGCGCACAAGCCGCCACATCTTCAGGATTGATTTCTTCAAGGATCTGGAGGAGAACGTCGTAGCACAAGTCAAGTAGTTTTGTCATCTTTGCGGACACTGTGCCAGAGCTTTGAGTAACAACCGAGTGTGGGAACGACGGAGATCGTCAGCTAAATCAATGGTCAGGATGTACGAATGGTGACTATGTGGGGTTCGGAGTTAGCGGAGTTATTGCCGGAGAGTACAGTAAATGGCAAATAGGCGCCTTCGCAGAAACGACGGGTATGCCAATGACATGCGTTAAGCACATTCGATTCGAATGGAAAGACGCAATGCTTCTGTGTCACATAAGAAAAAAATTCACTTTCATGTATGGTAAGGCCGCGGCCAGCATCACTAAAGCCACTAGCATAGCAATTAATCAGCAGGTTTCGCTAGCGCGCCGATGTCATCAAATTCATCGCGCTGTCATATCACACACCCTCAGTTTGAAGCATACGCAGGAACGTCTCCAACAAAGTGAACTCGGGTTCATCGGTTTTACTTTTAGCATGATATCATTCCATCGATGAGCTATCACCATTTGCAAACATACCACTATGAGCCATATCCGCTAGGCCAAGCACATAGAACTTCATCACGAGAATACAAATCGCAAGTATCATGCAAACTGAAAAACGCTAAGATTGTACTGAGGGGTATCAAAATCTACAAAAAAACATTACCATTCCAACCGGTCATCGCATGTCAGCCGTACATCATGTCTATCATCTCCCTTCCACACATCGCCACCTTTGTTGGTGCTGGCGATGATGCGCCTGAGGTCGCTGATCATACCTCCTGGGCCAGAAGCAAAGACATCGGTTCCTCCTCGTACTGTTCCAGCAACAAATTCGCGCACGATCGCGTCAAGGTTGGGTCGTGCCTGGACGTGGTTCAGGCCGAGATCCGATTTCGACACGCCGTGGACCGATAGGGCGGAAGAAGCGTCCTGGGTAGAACCATCTGAGCTCAAAGCGGGGTTGATTTCTTTGCTGCAGTCTGTTATGCCGACCTTTTCCGATGTGGCGGGTGGTGGGATGTCTACTTCCTCAGAGGCGCGCGTGACATAGATGTGAATGCTGGTGCGCAAGTTGCGGCACTTGCGCTTCAAGATGGCGAGTTCGGGTGCGACCCAGTCTATGTCGCTTCTCCTGCGGATGGCCCATACAAGAGACATGTGACGATCGGGGTGTTGCTGTTGAGAAGCGAGATCGAGAAGAACCGGGATAACGTATGCTATACCAGTTCCACCAGCAATGCAGAGGATGTTGGAGTTAGGGGCGAGGCTATTCATCGTACGCTCGCCATATGGGCCAGTCATGACAACCGAAATGCGGGCATCAGCCATCAATCCTTCGTGTGACTCCTCGCGGTCCTTGACGTGAGCGATGCGCTTCATAGCTAGCTGGGCGATCTTCTTGGTCTCACCCTTCCTTGCGCGGAAAATGTACGAGTGCCTCTGGCTGTCGGCACCAAAAACTGGGAGACTGACTGGAGTGAATGGATGGCTTTGCCAGATGCTGCTATCTGGGAAGGTAAGGTAGAAATGCTGACCGACAGACCAAGCGTCTTGAGGGTGATCGAAGTCCAAGCGCACGATATCGCCATTGACCTCGTCCTTGAAGAGAGAGACAGTCGAGGAAGCTGAGCGGAAACCCATGTGGCCGGAAGGTAGGAAGTTGTAGTGTAACAGAGCCGACCTGGCAAGTCGGATACCACGATCGATGAACCAGACAATGAGTCCAGGCAAAAGGAAGACCTTAAGCTGCTGCCAGTGGCCCCAGCATGCTCCAATGTAAATCATAGCCAGAACATAGTGGGCCTTGCGGAAAAATTCGTAACCAGTGAGTTTGATTCCCCATGGTGTGGAGAGCAGGACAAGCAATGTCAAGATGATCATCGCAACCAAACCCCAAATCATGTATTCCTGCACAATCCAGTTCTTGGCAACATATGGTTGGGGCTGGTAAAGACGGATCTCGACGATGCACCAGGCGATGGTGTGAAGGGACGACTGGAGGAAGATGATGTATCCGAGCCAGCGATGGAGGAAGTTGAAGCTTTGATATGGCAGACCGGTGACAAGCGACAGAATAGACTCACGGCTCGCGAGCATAACCGACAAAGGTGTGAGAGCATACGCCAAAACGCCAATGCGATCAGACCAAGGACCGAGAGTACTGCGAGTTTGTGTAAGACCGGGAGGATTGGTAACGCCGGGAAACTTTTTCGCGGGAGTGTTCCAGTGGTTATAGATCATGCCGACGAAGGAAAAGACGATGAGGTAACCGGTCAGGACTGTCAGAGTCAGGACCTGAGTGCGAGTGACTCGACCGAAAATTGGCCTGGCGGCATCTGGGAGGAGGTATTGTCGCGAGTACGATGCAATTGCTTTTTGGAATCGTTCGAGTGCGCTGCGTTTTTGTGGTACTCCTTCTCCCACTTCGGCCGGGAGCTGTACACCCGAGGGTTGCGAACGCGCAAAGTGTCGTCCGACACCCCAGATCACCAGGATGCCGCCAATGATGGACCACATGATACCGCTGTAGAGCATGGAGAGATCATGGGCATGGTAGACGAGGTCGAGATAGGTACAATCGTCTGGCACGTTGGTGCAAGGAACCGCGCGGTCGGCATATCCCCAATGGTGTTCTACGGACGATGCCGCGCTCATGTTCTGGATATGGCGCGGGGCCAGCATGTTGACGTCCATGTTTGCTGGCGCGCTGGGAACAAGGAAAGGCGACAGACAAACAGCGGATGCAAAGATTGTGTGAGGCTCTTTGCTGTTTCCGGAGAGTCGGTGGAATGGTTATATCTATATAAATGTGGCGAACCGGAGGCGGTAGATAGTGAGCACGTTTCATCGGTAAGTCGAGCACAAAGCCAAGCTTCTAGATGAAGACAAGATATTTAGAGCCGTCTTAAAGGCATGGGTATCTCGCTAGTGCGAGAGCGTTTGAGCAAATAACCCCACAGTTTCGGGAGACTATCTGCAAAGGTTGAGCCCAAGACGGGACCAGACGACGACCCTGCGGATCGAACATGGCTGGATCAAGAACCCTATGAATATCGCGTCACCCGCTGGGTCTGGCTCTGCAGACTAGCATCGAAGGCCAGTTGCTAAAGCCTCTATTCAATCCTTGGGATTCCCTCGCACAGTTCCTTTGCGAATTCACGTTTTTCAGTCTCAACTTTCGCCGTGCGAGATTCTACACCCATTGCGCATCGCCCATCATGATGTCCCACGAAATGTCCGGCATGGCTGGCAACAAAACTTGCGTCACTGAGGTATGTGAAATCCATCTTCAAAATCGCAAATGCGAGAAGAAAAATGATAATGGCAGAAAATTGCAAAATGCTAACATTTCCTAGATGCTGTGGAACTGGCGCGTCGAGGACGCATGCTTTCTCTCCTCCTCATGGCACATTACGAACAACGGAATGATGGCCGCCAGCTGCGTAGGCGCCGCTCTTCTTGTCGTCTGTCTCGAATTCCTTCGCCGCGTTAGCCACGAATACGATGCCTTTCTCCTGCGCCAATTCCAAAGACAACTCCACGTCCAGCAAGCGGCACTAGCGGCTGCCATGCCCGCCAACTGCTGCGACGGCCCCACGTCCACCCTCGGACTTCAGCACGCGACCTTCCGTGCCACCGCATTGCAACAACTTGTTCGCTCCATCATCCACGGCGTCACGCTCGGTCTGGCCTACATTGTCATGTTGTTGGTTATGCACTTCAATGGCTACATTTTCATCTCTATTATCTTGGGCGCTGGATTGGGCAAGTTCTTGTGCGATTGGCTCGTGGTCAGGATACCGTACAACACGCCAGAACAGAAGGAGGAGAGGCATGGGTCGATTAGTGCGGCTGGGCCCACGGGCTGCTGTGCGTAGAAAAGTGGGGTCTGGGCAGTATGAAGCGTGGAGTGATTGAATAGATACCCTTTTTTGATGATAGCAATGGATAGCAAATGAACTAGTTTAAATTTTTAGCACTATGCAGGCCCGAAAACGTGAAAGTCACGCTCAAGACATGTCTCATGATGAACTTTGGCTCACCGAAAGTGTAAAAAACCTCAAGATAAGCTTGTCAACTACGTTGTTTTGGGCTTTTTCTGTCCGCTAAACGTTGCCAAGAATGAAGCATACATACACAATCGGGAACAGGGCCGGACTAGAACTTGACCCTCCCCCCCAAAATGTGCTCGCTTGGCAGATCCCTTGGCGTTTCCATGTCCCTGGGGGCGGGGCACGTGGGTCAAATAAACTCCACAATGGCGTTGTTGGGACCGGTCAATTCACCTCTTTTGCGCACATTGTGGCGACGGAGCCAAGATGCGTGGCCCTCCTTCTCGGTCACCTGCAGTCCGAGGGAGCGGTTGGTGTGACATTGTTGGAATCATTTATGTAATGCTTGATTGGCCACTACACCATGACTTGCTTCTGGGTCGTCAGTAAAATGTAACGTGGGCTTAAAGTGATGACTGGGCTCGACTCATGTTGTGTGTACTGCGAGCATGATACGAGTCGCGTTAAGGGCCTGGAAAAAAGATATGTGTTGTATTCAGTGGCGAGGATGAAATAGACCGCAGTATTGCAATGACACATTCACACACTAGGTCTTACGTTTTCATCTATTTTCAGAACATGATTCAGGAAAACCAAATATGGTTGTAAAGGGACCGGACCGGTGCCGAGCCTCTGCCGGTAGTCTAATCTATACCGGTATCTCCGGCCGGAGGATATGGTTGTAATGCAAAGGCATTATGAATATTAGGGCAAACAATCTTTGTGTCAACATGTCAACACAACATGCAGCATGGCAAGACTATGCGAGAACGATCCTTCAGGTTACTTGCTCACCAACATGAGATACCAACACATCACTGATGAACATAAAACAACACGTGAAAATTCATTCATTCCCAACTAGTGGCAACACACTAGTACGATCCAGCCAAAAAATAAAAAGGTCATCAAAATCGCCAAGCAAAGTGATAGACTCAGCCAACGCCTAGACATACCCTGACTACTCCAAAAGGGCTCGAACTCCCTCAGCCGTCTTCGCAAATGTAGCTAACTGGAAGACCAAGAAAACCCCGCTCCCGCACCTACTTCGCATGCACACTCCAGAGCTTCAAAGCGTTTCCGCACAACTTCTTGAGCGCCTGCGTATCCCTGTTCAGTCGCGGGTTGGTCGGCAGAGTGTTAATCTTGGTAACACACGTCTCGATTTGCATCCTATAATTACCAGCGTCCATGTCTCCGAGAAAGCCTTCTTCGCCGTTGGCTAGCCCAATCAGCTCCTTGAGGCATTCGGAGGCCTGGCGGCGGTGGATGCCCACGACAGTGTTGTTCCTAATCAAGTCTTGGACTTCGCTCTCGAAGTAGAGGTTTTCGGTTGCAATGTATTGCAGAACTGCAGTTCGGGCTGCGTGAGCTGGTAATAGGTTGGTCTCGGGGATGGGGTTTGGAGGGACGTTTTGAGCAGTGTCAGAACTCGTTTCTCGGGTGCTGTTCGACTTCTCGGAGGTCGCAGCAATGAGTTTCGCGAAGCCACTACCTGTAGATCCGGGCTCTCTATTTTGTTCTTGCTTGACACTTTGAGCAGTCGCGGGAAGAAGCTTGGAGAAACCACTGCCAGCAGGTGCTGATGCAGCGCCAATGACTGAAAGTCCTTCAGATGGAGAGGACTTCGCTGCAGGGACAATTTGCTGTGGGGTAAAATTCGAGGTATTGTTAAAATTTAGTTTGGGAGCAAGTGGGTCCTGGAAAGGCGTCGGATTGTTGAGCGCTGTGCAAATGACCTGGATCCCCTGCATCATATCAATAGCCTCAGGCGGAAGATGAGGCTCGCCCCGCAGAAACTCGAAAACAGCCACAAGACCCTCCATTGGCCACACGCTTTTCAGCTTTTCAGCACCAACCTCTTCCAGTGGTATCTCTCTGTTGAATTTCTGGAGCAGGGTATGGATGGGAAGAAGGACTTGATGGGTCATGTCTTGCATGACGTTGGCCGCCTCATACAGGCCACCAGCCATTAGAGCAGCCTCGATATATCCGATACCCATAACTAGATCACGGCCATAGAGAGCTAGCTGTTCCAAGCGATTAATGTATAGTTGGCGGTAGTGATCAAGGAGAGTCTGTATTTTAAATCTCCTGACCTCTTCTTCATGGGCTTGGCGCTTTCGCTCCTCCTCCTGCCGACGCATCTGGACCTTGTAGGCTTCCCACTGGTCAAGTATACTATTAGTAATTTTTCGCTGGTTGTGTTCGGCAATAACAGGATCAATAGGGTTGTGGCCGGAAGGGAGCAGCTGGAACTTCATTCGCTCTGCACCAAGAACATTTGTAAGCCGTTCCTGAACATAAGCATGGCTCTCTTTATATGTTTGGTTTTCATAAAAGGACATGTCTTGAGCGAGCTTTAGTTCGGGAGCCGGCGAATTCACTGGTTGGGGATGCGAAGATTCGGTCTCATCCTCTTGTCCATGAAGGCGAAACCCCTGAGCCCTCTGTGCTCGATGTTGATCTATACGCTTCTTGGTTGTCAACATATGCCTTTGTTGCTGTCGCAAAGCTCTGCAGTTTGCTGTCCTGATCTTGCTTTCCTTCTCCAAGACGACGGCCCCCTTATCATTCTGCCAATTTGCCATTTGAGAATAGTTTGTACCCATAATATTTCCGGTAGCTACAACAGGTACAGCCATACTAGGAACAGCCACGTTAGAGGCAACCACGGTAGGGGCAACTAAGGTAGGGTAAGACATAGCAGGGGTAGCCACGTAATATTCTGCCGCAGTAGGCGTAGTGATCGCAGGAAAGGTTGCTAAAGTAGAAGTAACAACAGGAGCAGTGGTCACAGTCGGCGTAGTCTCATCGGACTTGGGCATACCGTGTTCATCCAAGTCTATTTTTGCGAATATCTCTGCATGCCGCGCGAATAATGCCTAAAAGAATGATTAACAAAGATCTAGAATGTTAGGGGAGGATGCTGAATACTTCTATAACGCTGTTTCTATGCTTTACCTGCTTCTTAGGTTTGAACATACCAGTCAGGCGATCGGCGTTCATACGGACGGCCTCTAAAATGTGTTCCATGATAGAGTCTTAGGATCGAAACAAGTAATTTGATTGTGATGGTGAAGCAGTGGATGAAGAGAAAATATGTATGTTTTAGCGAGAGTGAGACTTCGAAACGTGAAAAGTCTAGTTGATAGTAAGAATTTCGAGTTCGACCCCTTGCTTGAGAATTCTGTTTTCATCAAGGTGGCACAGATTGGTTAGAGGGGGTATTTTCTGAGCTGAGAAGGCATAGAAAAGTAATTGGCAGGAGTGGTTTACAGTGTCCAAGTAGTCAAAAGCGCGTGTTTGTGTACAAGAAACTTGTTTGAAACACAATGAAAGTTTTTCACTAGTCCGCTAGAATGATCAAGAGTGAACAGGAAGGCTTGTTGTCAAAGTAAACGGTTTGTTTGAACGAGTGAATCGGTAGATCAGAGTTCGGGAAGTCGGCTTGATACCTAACATCCCCCCTATCTACAGGAGACTCTGGCGAGCGGGAAAGTATTCAGTCTCAAGTGCCTACTCTCACAGTTCCACAGTATGTCTATACATAATTCAGAGCAAGTTATTCTTTAAGATGATATCTCCAAAATCTAACTTTACAATAGGAAAAATACGCGTGCATTTCGTACTATCGATCATTTCTTACTGGCCATATTAACACCGCAACAGTTTTATACTCTTGTTAGAACATATTTAGGTACCATTCTTCTACAGCTCGGAGGTTCTAGGATATAGCTAAATATACAAAAGGATTTCTCTCAGCTGTAGAGGCTATAGCGATAAGGAGAAATGGTGTCCGAATTCATTCGCACTGGCAGGCGAGGACACGCCCAGAAATGCTGGCTGTAGCAAACTTACTTATGTGAATCAGTAGTACTCCTGACAAGGCAGTTTTTGACTTCATGCTAGTTTCTGTCGGAGATACTGTACTACCATGGCGGCCTCGTGACCCTCGCCGCTGAGACTTTGAAATCGCGATCGTCTGCGTCGTGTCCATACTGTGTAGAGTACGATGCCGCTTCCCTCTTATTGGTCGGATTCTGGACCGGAGAGGGCAATCATAGAGAAGAGCGGCGATAGATGAGAACTACCCTGCGACTGGTCGCACCGGTAAGTAGGACGTCATTCAGACTGCTCTTCGAATGCGAACAGGTCGTGTATTCTAGGGCTGTCGTTCAACACTAACCAGATTGCAAGGGACTCGCTATACGAGTGCACTGGAGCCGAAGATCTTCAGCAGTCTTGTGAGAGTAGCCTGATACATGCGTGTGTGAAGTGTTCTTGCATGAATTTTCAGCGACGTTATTCGCTACTTCATCTAGCTACCTGCAGCATGCTAATCGTAGAAGAAAACAGCAATCAGCAAAACCCCTGCTGGTTGTTGCATGGCATAAATTCCTCAATCAGGTAGTCTACGCGATATGCTTGAGAATCGAGGAGAAGTCCAGTTTAGTTGATGGTATGATTACAAAAAAGAGAAGCTTGGTTAGCTCATTCTGTATTCTAGGCGCACGTATCCGGTGTAATAGCAACCATGCGGCCGTAATTTATCGTAGAGAACTAGATGTGAGTCCTCGTAAGAAGCTAAGGTACATTATCGATAATAATTATCGAAAATTTCCCCCGTAACAAAAGGGTGATACTTGCTCGAAGTCGAGATACCTCGCTTATTTTCTGGTTCAGGGGTGGATTTGCTGCACAGCATGTGCAGATAATGTTGAATGCGTAAGAAGTTTTCACCTTGTACGCAAATCATCCCTAAACGGCAAATGCAAGACAAGATTATGTAGCCGAACATGATGGCAACATTTGATGATAGCAACCCAGTAGTATGTATCTTTTTTGATGAGCACAGAAGTGATATTTGGTGCATGAATTTCGCGATGCAACGAAGATGAACCAGCAAAGGAAATCACTGGGCGTGTAGAAACTAGGGCAGCAGAAGTCCTACAATTGTCGCATATAAGTCTCATCATAGTTTTTAGATACAAAGCCGCTATGGGAAAGAAGCATCTCAAGCACATTTTCTTTCCACGTCTACAAAGCTTTTAGCATCTGGAAAGCATACCTCGTGCGGTGTAGACTACGTTCGCATTCGTTCTGAGAGCATCTCGTGGACAGGCACATATCATGACGAGAGACCTTGTGGGAAAGATGCTGAAGACCTCAGATGCCCAAACCTAGAGTTGTTCATTATCGTCGGGTATCCATGCGAGTAATCAAGACCTGAATGTCCTGCAAATACACTCAATTAATGAGAGTGTAAACAGTAGCAACGCGAGAAGAAGCATGAGAGGTCAACCAGGCAGCATCAACTGACCTTCCCAAGCAGGCGACGCAAGACCCATCTCAGTCCAAGATACTCAGGGGTTATCTGGCCGCCCCATCCAGCACTGCCCCGGAACCAGACGACCCGATTCTCTCAAGGATCAAAGTTCCAATCTAAAAAAGGATCCGCCAAGACGGCACCCCGATACCGAGCAGACCAAACAAAAGGTGGATGCAAAAGGAGATGCAGCTTCCCCCAAAGGTCTGGAACAAACAAGGACCCAAACTAATAGTAGCATCTGCAAGGCACACATCCACCCATCAGCCCCGTGGGCGGCAACGCGGAAAGCCGTTGAAAGCAAATCACTCGTATTCGCACATCCGCGGTACGGATCGAACTGCACGTTCCCGATCACCGCCAGCATAAACCTCCCTCTCGCAATCTCCAAGATCACAAAGAAAAAAAGGAACTGTGGCGTTTAAGCCCCCCATCTAAGCCACACCCGCCCTCTCGCACCTGCACTCAACATCCACGATTCATTCCTACTCACAGAGCAGCCGCGTCACCATCCTCAACCCCCCCCCTTTCTTTTGCCCCAGAATCCTCCACCAAAAAAAAGCCGATCAAATGGAGACGAACGCGCAAGCCGATACAAGACACGGTGCATGAACAAGTCCTAGTGTGGCTGTTTTTGTGGCGCGTACATTCTTGGCATCGTGCCGTCATGCCGTGTTGGCAGCATCGCGCTTTACCCAACCGGGTTAGACCAGCATACCGCCAACCAACAATTGGGGGCAGCCGCCTTGAATATGCCAGCATGTGGGTATGAAAAATAAAGGGCTAGAGAGGAAAGAAAATCGGGGGGGGGAGGAGCGGAGCCCATGCATCTTTGTCGTGTGCTTTGCCTTGTTTTCAAAGGGAGTGAATACATCATGCACTTGATTTCCTTTACTCTCGTAGGGCCGACTCGGCTAGTTCTTCGTTCGTTCTTTTGATACTACTTCCTTCTTTTTTCTTTTTTCTACCCTGCATTCTTTTGAGTGAGAGAAGAGTTGGTTCGGTACTTTGTTACGGCCCTGCATCTCCGATCTCGACCTCTTTTTGCTACATGGTGGTATAGTCAAGGTCGTTGCTACTATCCCGTAAACGCCTTATCGTCACTCGTTTCCCCCCTCCTATCACCAGTAAGAAACAAAGAAAGAGAAGAAGAAAAAGGAGCCGTTGTTATCATCATAATCCATAATACCTACATACAACAACAACCGGCAATCATGAGACTCGGTCTTGCCTCGACCCTCCTCGCCCTCAGCGGCAGCAGCCTTGTCCTCGCTCAAAAACGCTGCGATGCACCATACCCCTCCGTCTACTGCAACACGACCTCTATCCTCGCCTTTAATTCAGATGCCTGCAAGCCCTTCCACATCTTCGTCGTGCGCGGCTCCGACGAACCGTATCCCGGGCGTCTGGGTAACCTAACACAGCAAGTCTGTAGCGCGATCGGCGGCACCGCTAAGTGCGGATACGAGGACGTCGAGTACCCCGCGAAGAGCTCCGCATGGTCCAAGACGTCATGGTGTGATTCCGCTACCAAAGGCGCGAAGAACGGGCAGCAGCAGATGCGCGCGTACAGCGAGAAATGTCCGGACAGCAAGTTGATCGTTCTGGGTTTCTCGCAGGGCGGATCCGTAGCGCAGGATATGCTGGGTGGAGGCGGCGGGCCGACGTTTGAATGTGAGCAAGGTGATAATCCGGGGTTGGATGCTAGTGTTGCTCCTGGTGCGAATGGTACGACTTTTCACCCAAATATCACAATCTCCCCCCCCCCCCCAAAAAAAAATAAAACATTTACATGCAACTAACGCTACGGGTAAAAAAAAATAGTCGTCGCAGCAGTAACCTTTGGCGCCGTCTCCCGCTCCCGCAACCAAAACTTCACAGTCGGCGGCGGAAAGGACTTTGACGGTACCCGCGCGCGCACACCCGAGCAACTCGCAAACCTGACGCAATATTCTGATGTCCTCCTCGACTACTGCCACTACGGCGACCCCATCTGCGCCGTGGGGTCGGAGCCGCAAGACGTAACCGAGCACCTCAACTACTTTATCAAGCACAATGCCGAAGTGACAAAGTGGGTTGCGGGCATGGCCAAGGCGAGTACCGGTGATGTGAGTGTTCGACCCAGCAAGCCCGTTGTTGTGCAGGCGGCGCCCTCGTCGACGGCGTTGTCGTCGTCGACGCAGAGTGTGGCGGCGAAACCGATCAAGACTGAGGCGCCGACGACGACTTCGACGGCGGTGCTTGCTCCTGCGGTTTTGCCGAGTGTTACTGACGGAGCCGCTGCGGCTGAACAGACTGGTGTCGCGAATGCTGCGACCGGTACGGTCAGGGTTGTGCTGGGGTATTTGACCGTGTTGGGAGCCGTGGTTGTCATGTTGGTTTGATCAACTTGCACTACTACTACGCTTGCTCACGCAACCCGGCCAAAATTTCTCCCCATTCCATTTATACCCTGCATATACGTACGCATCTTGCATTTTCCTCGCCTCCTTATCCATTCGAAGAAATAAAAGAGGAGAAGACTTGCGTCCAAGCAGCGGCGTTTTTGACACTGTACGGAATTTCTTTTGTTGCTTCGAAAGAGTTGGAAACTTATTAAATCACTTTTGTATATATGATTTGTACGACTATTTCTAATTTCTTATCCTTTCAGCCCTGGAATATAAAGTTTCATCCAGATTTATACAAGTCCGAAAGTGAACAATGT